AAGAAAAACCATTGCTCACAGCTTTGCAGATGAAAAAACGATTGCTATGGGCAAGACAAAGGCAGAATTGGGAACAGAGGCGTTGGCATTCTATAATTTTTAGCGATGAATCCAAATTTGATGTGTGTGTCGGTGATGCTCGAAAACGAGTAATACGAAAACGTACGGAGGCATATCACAAAGATTGTCTTAAACGTACAGTCAAGTTTCCAACGAGCACAATGGTGTGGGGATGCATGTCAGCCAAAGGTGTGGGACAACTTTACTTTATAGATGGAACTGTAAATGCAGAAAAATACAAGTGTATCCTTCAAAGTAATCTCCTTCCATCAATACCAAAGCTTTCTGAGTGTGGGGAATATACCTTTCAACAGGATGGTGCATCACCACACACCGCAAAAACAACCAAAAATTGGCTTCAAGAAAATGGAATTGATGTCTTAGATTGGCCGTCATCAAGCCCAGATCTAAGCCCAATAGAAAACTTGTGGGCAATCATCAAAAGAAAGCTGAGGAATGACCCACAGCGTACTCTGTCAGGACTAAAATCAAAAATTCAGGAAATTTGGGATTCCATAACTCCAGAAGAATGCCTAAAATTAGTAAATACCATGCAGAAGAGAATTCAGGGTGTTATTAAAAATAAAGGAGATGTTACTCAGTTTTAATGAATATATAATGTTGCCGTACCAATTAATAATGGTCAAAATATTTCGTGTAGTATGAAAGTTGTTTTATTTAAATTGAGTTTTTTCATTTTGTTGATATGAAACTTGTGCATGTTTTGATATGAAATTAAAGGTAATTCAATGACCTTTTTAAAAAGTATAAATATGTTTGGGCAATCATCGCCTACAAATAAATATGAGTCATTGAAAGTTGCACTGTCGAAAAAAACCGTGCCGTACCAATTAATAGTGGTTAGGGCTCGTAGTAACCAGAAATACAATCTGTTATCGGTTCCACGTCTCCATCCGACTTAAAAAAAACTAAATCGAGATTTATTGCTGCCTACATTTATTCCTTTTGGACGTCTTTTTTCCACGAAATATTTCAGGGCTTCTAGCTGAAACAAAATTTCGTTGCTGGAATCATTGATTTGTCCTTTGTCCTAAATTTGTCCTTTAACGCAACCAAATCAAAAGCCATACATTTCAGCGCGCGCAAGAGACTACCAAAGCATCCTCATTAAGGAGGTAGCACAAATTAGGTACTTAGGCTCACATATAAACCAGGCTATTTCGAGGCCAACCGATCCTGTGCCTCCTTAAGCTTTTTAGTAGGTGCCAATTTGATGTCAGCCCAAAGCAAGGAGTTTTGTTGCACAATGCTTTTGTTAGAAGCACACTCGAATACGCGTGCTCTTCTTTCAGCAACTTATCCAGGTCTGCCCTAGCCAAGGGCCAAAGGCCTACCAATTTGCACCTGGGGAAGGTACTAGGTCTAATAAAATGCACGCCTGTTCCTATTATATACCACGTGGCAGCTGAGATGCCCCCTGAATTTAGGTATAAATTCCTTACAGCCAAAGAGCTGGGCAAAGCTTTTGGCTTTCGACCTGCCAATATGTGAATCGCTGTCCTGCTCTAGTACGATAAATACCAGTTACGTGAGGGTGTACAGACAAATTGCTTCCATTTTGGACCACATTGAAGAAGTCCCTCTGTTTCCTGTCAATTGCCGCAAAATTAAAGGAGACACCGACTTTTTGAAGTGCTCAGCGAGGAACAAACACTCTATCGATGAAACAAGCATGCGGCGGATTTTCAACGAGAAAGCCTCCAGCCTGAGAAGTAGAGAGCTTAAGCTGTTCTTTACTGACGGATCAGTCTCCGCGAGTCACTTCCTACACGAAGAGTCGGGGCATGTGGACAGCTTTTTCACCAATAAAATTCTTTCATCTCTCTCTTCAGAGCAAATCGCAACAGAGAAGGCGATTAACCATTCCATCCTTCTGAGCATTCCCAGGCTGGCAATTTGAACTGTCAGCCGCGGCAGCCTGCAAGCTCTAATGAAGCAATTTCAAAACAATTCGATAGCTAACATTAAAAGGAAAATTAATAATTGATCCAGGATTTTAGTACTGGAAATCCATTACATACCGGGACACGTGGAAGCAAAGAGGACACCAACTGACGACACTTTCAGGTGGTAAAATGGTGTCTGAAGGAGGCAGTGCGTACAATGTACAGATTAATACACGACGACTGGAAACTGGAGTACGCTAGATTTGTAGCAGAGAAGGACCAAGGATATTGCGCCCTGTTTCCGACTACTCTTGAAAAACTGTGGTTTCAAAACAAGAACTGCAAGAGGAATGCTAATAGCTTAAAATTAGTCAGCAGACTGCGGTTACTCTTTCGACAATGTCACACTCGCAAAAATTCATGTTATCGACGATAACACTTGTAACAGCTGCGGAGTTCCCGACAACGCATCACACATTATATTTGAATGCCCAAAACATATTACGAATCGACATTTCCCATCGCTATTAAAATACAACAATGTGCACACTTTCTTTAAGCTAGAGCCCGTTCATGAATATAATTCACTAGTAAAATTCATAAATGATATAAAAGTCAAACTATAAGTTGATACAACTCAGTAAAATTAACAAGTGTAGCAATTTCCACTTTACCAATAAGTGGGCGGCCAAATAATTCCACTATACTTAACTTAAACCCAAAAAAAAAAAAAAAATAATAATAATAATAATATTAAATATAAATTTATTATTGGTTGCGTTTATTTCTTTTGGTTTTTTCGTCGCAATATTTCAGCGCCTCCAGTTGGATTAATAAAATTATCTGCACATATATTTGGAGCTGCGCTTTTTTTCAACTTCTGGTAATAGTAACCAGAAATACAATCTGTTATCGGTTCCACGTCTCCATCCGACTTAAAAAAAACTAAATCGAGATTTATTGCTGCCTACATTTATTCCTTTTGGACGTCTTTTTTCCACGAAATATTTCAGGGCTTCTAGCTGAAACAAAATTTCGTTGCTGGAATCATTGATTTTTCATTTCAGCACCTCCAGCTGAATAAGCAAATTCGAACGTGAACACAATGTAAGCAGAGGCGTCGTCCTAAGCGGCGCTCGTTTTGTTTGTGCTCATATCCGATCCGCCTCATGTAGGCCCACATTATCAGGCTCGTATGAGAGCCTAGTATGTTACGACTACGCTTTTCCCTTGGGCAACGCTGGCTGGCTCATCGGAGTTCTCCTTGGGTGTGCGGTTCCAACCCAAAGCCCGCGTGAGTCGCACAATAACCGATAACACGGTTCCTCCATCGATTTTAACCAAAATGCCATCACTACAATAAATTCGACGCGCAATATACAAAACCGAATTCAAACGTAAACAAACTCCTGGTGTGCTTCCACAAGAAGCTCGATGATGCCGTAGAAATACTGAGCAACAAGATACAAGAATTCGGAAGAGAATGCAGCGAAATTAATCTGACTTTTAACCCATCCAAGTCAAAGGCCATCCATTTTAGCTCGCACAAAAAGCAACTTAATATTCTATATCAAGGCACTTTCATAAATGAAGTGGAGCAAATCAAGTACCTTGGCCGAATCATCTCGGCTAACAATTCTGCGTGCAGTCATGTCAATCAAGCCATCTCAGAGGCCAACAGAACATGTGCCTTTATTAGGCTGTTAAGCGGCTGCCAATTTGGGGTCAGCCCTAAACAGGGGGTTCTGCTACACAAGGCTTTTGTTAGGAGCAGACTGGAATATGCATGCTCGTCCTTCAGCAATCTGACTAAGGCAGCTCTAGAAAAAGTCACAAGAAGTACAAACCTGTACCTTAGGAAAGCTCTGGGGCTTTTAAAATGCACGCCGGTCCCGGTAATATACCATATGGCGGCTGAGCTTCCTCCCAAATACAGATACAAATTTCTCACAGCCAAGGAATTGGCGAAAGTCTTTGCTTTTAATCTGCCAGCAGGTGACACACTCATGTATGGTCGCGAAATCAACACCAGCTACTCGAAAGTGTACAATGAATTTGCAGACATTTTCAATCGCATAGAGGAAATCCCTTTAAATCAGGACAAGTGCGCCAAAATTAAAGGAGACCTGGATTTCTTCAAGGGCGCTGCGAGAAACAAGAAATCAATAGACACAATAAGCACTCGTCTTATTTTTAATGAAAAGGTTCACTCCCTAAGGCGCGGAGGTTTTAAGCTGTTTTTCACAGATGGATCGGTCACCGTAAATCACTCCAGCTCAGCCTTCTTACATGAGGAGTCAGGGCACATTGAAAGTTTTTTCACGGACAAAATCCTGTCGTCACTCTCCGCCGAACTTTTAGCTATCGATAAGGCACTAGATTACGCTATTTCACTGGGTATACCACGGGTAGCATTCTTAACAGATAGTAGAGGCAGTGCTCAAATACTGACTAAGCCATCGCAGAACAATTACATAGCTCACAATATAAAGAATAAAATTAATAATTCCAGGATAATGGAGGTAGAAGTGCACTACATACCGGGTCACGTAGGGCTAGAACAAAACAGCATAGTGGATTCGGCAGCAAAGAAAGCACCAACAGAAGGTACGTTCATGACGGTGAAATGGAGCCTGAAGGACGCGGTGTGTACTATATACAGGAGGATTCATCAGGACTGGGAGAGGGAGTACTCCAGCTTTGCTGCAGAAAAGGACAGAAAATACTGCGCACTCTTCCCGGCAACCGTGAACAAGCCTTGGTTTCAGAACGAAAATTGCAAATTAAATCCAAATAATATCAAACTAATGAACAGACTTATATGTGAAAACTCCTTCGACAAAGTCACTCTATCGAAAATGCACGTTTTAAATGATAACATATGCAACAGCTGTAACGTCCCTGACAGCGCAACACATGTTATTTTTGAATGCACAAAGCACAACACAGCACGTCAACGTTACACATCACTAGCAAAATACAACAATGTGCACACTTTTTTCAAGCAAGCGGCCACAGCTGAGTACAATTCACTGGTCAACTTTATAAAAGAAATCAACGTAAAACTTTAAAGACAAGCAAACACTACGAAATAGCCCGCGTGGCATTTTCCACTTTACCAATAAGTGGGCGGCCAAATAATTCCACAATACCCAAGGGTATCGTGGTAACTTAAAACCAAAAAAAAAAAAAAAAAAAAAAAAAACGTAAACAAACGAAAAATAACTAACATAAAATAAAAGAAACGTAATGCAACAACAAAAAAACAAATAAACGGATAACTCCCTCAAGCTACCCGTACGAATACGGATGACTGTAAAAGGAGATTACATACATACGTGCGGACGGATAGAAATTGTGACATCGGACAACTGCATGGGATTTTAGCTGTTGATATCCCAGGCGTACTCACCCTGCCTGTATCCAAAGGCAAAATTTTTACTGGATACCCTAACATTAGGCCGTGCTGGAGCTATTCCATGGCAACGGTGAGTCTCCCGCCCCTATTTATTCTGCTTTACTGCACCAAAATGGACTGTGCGACCATAAAAATTAATATTCAATTCGTGTTACATACATATGTATGAGGCTGAGTGCAAAATTAATAAATAGGTGTTTATACATGAGTTTAACAGGCGTGAAACAAAATATAAATTAATACAAAAAAATGAAAATAAATCAACGCAAAAATAACAAAAAGGCTTGCCAATGCGGTTAGTTTGTGCATAAATAAATAAAGAGTAAAAATGTAAATATATGTACGTATATATACATATGTATATAGTAAGTGTAAATATGGACGAGTAGTCGGGGAATAAATAAGATAAAGTACCCCCAAAAACCTTAAGGAGAGCTCTCGGCGGTCGTGGGCGCAATATACCTATATATGACCCAATACTGCGTATATGTATGTATTTATTTAAGTTCAAAAAAAACGAAACGCGCTACTGCAATTGGCAAACTTTGTACAAATTTCTAGACTGAAACATCTAAGCTTTCTTTATAAATGAAAGTATACATTTTTTTATTAAATAGAGCGCCAAGCTCTGTTTAGGTGCCGCTTTCTGCCTCGTTTTCGGCTTGATTATATATATGTATTTTTATTGTATTATTTTCTTTTTTCTTTTGCAGAAAACTTAAATGGGGCGGCGCGTGGGACCCTGCAGGTACAGCTCACATCAAACAACACATGGACGACAGGCGCATGGGGTCTCTGCCTTGTTGCAGCTCAGACGCAAACAACAGGCACGGCGCGTGGCCAAGGAACGGACTCACCGGCTGATGGCGCAGACTGACGTGGTTGCTCCTGCTACGATGCAGCTATTGATGGCGGTGCGGATGACGGTGTCGCTGCCGTTGTTGGATTTGCTGCTACTGTTGGCTGTTGCTGTTGCTCCTGTTGCGATGCAGCCTGTACTGCTGTTTATGAGGGCCGCTGCAGCTGCTGCAGTTCCACCGTTGTCCACGAAACTTGGCGATATGCCGGAAAATATGCCAAGGAACGAAAGGCATTAAAGCACCGGTCAGCACATTCAAATGGATATATATATGGGTACGTAAACATGGGCAGCGGTTCCGCCTTGTATTTATGCCCCTGTTTGCCCACCTTCGAACTGCTTGTAACACGCTCTTTTTTTTGTAATTCCAGTTCTCAGCTAACCAAACCAAGCTTCAAATTTCGGCGCCTCCCGTAGCGCTGCCACTTTGCTTTTTTGTGACCAACCCGATGCAACACCACCGCAAATATCCGAGTGGGCGACCCGTCGCGCAACGAAGCGATATTTGCGCGCACCAAACGGCTGGTTGTTATCCTCCTGATTCGAGTCCGGCGTTGCCTCGGTGACTCCTTCCGCGGCGCCCAACGTAGGCCACACCCAGTCTTGGCCATCTGGTAAGTAGCCCTGGCTGCACCCTCCTCATGCCAGGTATGCCCGCATCTTCTCTTCGTACGGTAAAAATTTTAACTTATTACTATATTGGAGATTTTTATTATCAAATTTCTTCTCTAGGACCGCTCCGCTGCCATCCTGGTGGGCACCTGTGTTGACCGCGATTCGCCCACTTGCTCCGCACTCCGACGCCAATTTCGCACTGTGCTGCTGCTACGGCTAGCTCCACTAGAGGAATTAGTTGCCACTGTTCTTGCTACCGGACGCGAAACGCTTCTCGCTAGTGTTAGAGGCTCGGCTTGGTATTGCGGCGGCCGTTTCGGAACTGCGCCACGATTCTGGCTGACTGGCGGTTGCCACGTCCCATTGGCAGCTGAATCACCGCTATTCGCTCGCGGTTGCAAGATTTCTTTGAGCGCGCCCATCAAGTCATGGAACCCCATTCGGATTTTCTCCTGCAACACTTTGTTGATGCCCTCTTTCTGCGATTGGCGGTATGTCTCGTTCGCCTGTGCCACTGCCGCTTCTACAGCCGACGCGACTGCTGGCTCAGCGTCCCAGCGTACCGCTGATGCTATGAACGCACAGTGGTTCCGCCCATAGGCCAAAATTCAAAAAATCCATGCGAAAAAAAATTTACAAACGGTAAACAAACTGTCTCTAAAATGTCCAAACTTTTCTAGTGCAAACCGGTTTTTTCTGGAATTCTAACGGGACTTTCTAAAAATAGCATTGAAGATGTGAACACGTGTTCATTTTTAAAGCGCAGCTGCATGCTGGGAGAATTGTTCACAACAAGGGCGAACTTTAAATTGGTCAGTTTATTAATTACGTTTCCGAATTTAAGTTAGTTTTAATGGATTTCAAAGTTAAAGGTATTTATTTTAAATTCGAAAATTAATAAAAGTGTCTTCTGTTGTAGTTATTTTAAAATTAATGATTTAGTAGACCCTATTTTTTTGTCCATTTTGTGTGCGTCTTCATTATGTTTACTTAAACTTTTAGTTGTGTTCCCCCCCGATTCCCCCATTTCGATCTTCGTCAGTGTATATGTGTGTGCATTAAGATAATAAAACCGTTTAGGTTAGCTGCAGAAATTTGCAGAGGTGTGCATAATCACAACAATATATCTAACGCCGTCTTTTTTTTTTTCAAGGTCAAATTTGCCTTGCGAAGTGGTTGCTTTGCCTTGTGTTTGTGCTTTGACTGTGTTTACGTCTTTCGTGTTTTGTGTACTTATTAAGCTAAAACAAGTAAAAAAGCTAAGGTCGGGTGTCCCGACTTTGAAATACTCTGTACATATGTTTACAATAATTATAGAAAAAAAAATAAGAAAATTAAAAAAAATTTGATCGATTTTACCTTTCTCGGTATTCGAACTCAAGTAAAGGGTATATAATTGCACATATACAAAGCAATTGCGTCTATGTGAGTGTATGTATTGTTATGTCCGCCTTTGCCAGTGCATCCCCTGTCGTTACGCCGGCTAGCCATCGGCTCAGGGTCAGATTCGACCGCGACAGGGGTGCGGCAGACCAACAATGAATTTATATTTTTTTATCAAACACACCTACTCATATTGTCGGCTGAGGGACGCCTGTGGAATTTGGGTGGAGTTGTGGCTACTTTGGTGTCATGTAGCCGCGTGGCCCTCCCTACCTTGAGCCGGTTTTGGCATTTTGTTGCCGGCTCCCTTTAACATGCTTGCTTTGGTTTCCCTTCTGCTCCGGGACTTTAGTCACCCCATCTCACCCCATAAATGGATTCTACTCCAGACTCATTTTCAAATTTTAAATTTTATTACAATAAAAATATATTCGGGTATTTAGGCCATTGAGTTTTGGGACGCTGCAGTTTGTTGGCTCTTTGTGCCTATTTATCTTATTCGATTTTCGAACCTCCTACGCTACCTATACTCGAGTATGTGGTTATGAGGGGTGTAATGATATGTAATGACAAGGAGATAAACAAAAAAAAAACTGCGCCGCTCCAATACACATTCCAACCTCTTTTGCTTATATTAGACTTTATACATTTTCTTTTACTTTTCTTTTTTTTTTTTTTATGTTCTTTTTTCTTAAGTATACATTTGAATTTTTGTTTACAATATGGTTACTTGTTTGGTGTTGTGTTTCTGTTTAATGTTTTATATTATGTTGTGAATGGTTTGGGCTATGTGTGTAACAGAAAATTGTTAATTGTTTTGTGTGTCGTTTTTTTTGTTTTGTATTTTACATTATGTGGCTATGGGCGTGTGTGTATTACAATATGGTTAAATGTTTGGGTGTTGCTTTTGTTTTGTATTTTATATTATGTGGCTATGGGATGAATGTGAGTCTGAGTGCTATGGAAATTCGGTGTGTGTTTGAATATGGTGTATGTGAACATGTATGGAGTGTATATAAAGGAGTGTGTGGTGTATATAAAATTTTGTGTTCTATGTTTGAGCGGAATGTGTGTGAATATTTAGTATTTTAATGTTGAAGGGTACTTAGCCCAGACTTCCAGTTGCATGGAAATTGGCCTGACTTCCGCTAGGGCCGAGGTCCGGCCTAAGACCCAGTACTGCCGGTCGGTGCTGACCCGCGCACAGCGCACTTCCCAGAACGCCCGCAGTTACTGCTACTCCTATTACATATAGTAAGAAATTAGTCACTGGCACACTGGCCCCTTTTTAGACCCTTACCTCTGCCTATGAAGCCTCGCTGGTGTATATCCCAACCCTCCTGTCGTCACTCCGGTGTTTGAATATTGTCTTCCGCTTATTTTGTCTCTTTTTTTGTTTTTTTTCCCGCAATAGCACGTGTCTCTCGCTCACTGTCCACAATTGATTTTTCTTCTTCCCTAAGGCCACGACTTGCCATTCCCCCGGAATTGCTATTTTACCCACTTTGCAACCCTCCTAATTGGAAGCACTGGTCCTCACCCCTCACGCACGAGTACTTGTTATCGGCCCGCTCCAGCTGCCAATCGCGCGAGTTGCCACTCCTTTTGTCCGACGACATTTGTGGTTTCCCAATACTGCCGCGCCGCACATAACACCACACTCCGGTTTTATTTTGGTGCCAAACGGAAGAAACGGGAGTGAGAAGCGCCGCGGTTCTTTCTCTGCCCAACGTAGGCCACCGCCCACACCCTGAGATGGGTCTCTCGGTCTACCGACGAACAAAGCCGGGCCTTAGCTATTGCTTTAAATCTTTGGCGTGGAAGACTCCCAACCGACGCCCGTGCATGTCCTCCAACTCGTACAGGCTGTTGCCCACGCTGCTCCGGACACGGCATTTCACATACTTGTGGCACAGCTTCGCGTTCACGTTGTCCTTAAAACGACTGAGGACAAAGTTTCGCCTGTAAATCTCCTGGCCAGGTACGTACGATACCATCCTCGCACGCTTATCGTATTGCCGTTTCGCCTTTTCATACGCCAGATGGACACTCTGCTGTACCTCATCCCGCACTGCCTTCTGCTGATCCGATCTGGGCAACATGCGCAATTCCGCATCCTCCAGCGCCCCCAACTTGCGTGCCAGCTTGTAATCCTTCCCGCTGGTGAACATGTGCTGCCCAAACAAAACGAAATACGGGGACGTGCCGATGCTGCCATGGATAGCACTGCGTGCTGCACACTGCACGTCCGAGAGCTTCTCGTCCCACTTCGTGTGGTCGCCCTGTACATATGTCCTGATGGCCGCTAACACTGTCTGGTTCACGCGTTCCGCCGCATTCGCCTGTGGGGCATAGTTCGCCGTGCGTATGTGGGTGATGCTCAGCCCCTGCAGGAACCCCGTAAATTGGTTGGCCACAAATTGCTTACCGTTGTCGGTATGGACGGTTTCTGGGACTCCAAATGCCGGAAACACCTCCTCCTGCAGAAACCGGACCACTGCCGCCGCGGTTGCTTTTGGCATCGCTCGCAACCACACGAATTTGGACAGATGGTCAAGAACAACCAGAATGGTGGTATTCCCTCTCCTGGACCTCGGATACGGCCCCAGAAAATCCAGATACAGCCTCTGCATTGGTCGGAGCGATACGGTTTCGGCGCCCATTACCGGCCTCGCTAATTGCGTGCTGTGTTTTGTTGCTTTGCACGTTTCACAGCCGGCAACGTACCTCCTCACCTGTGCCACCATCCCGGGCCAGAAAAAAAACTGCCTGAGCCGTTCTATGGTCCTCTTCATGCCCCCATGCATAGCCGCGTCGCTCTCATGGGCCTGCTGTATAAGGGCTGCGGACACAGGACGCGGTACCCAGAGCTTCCAGGAAAATTCCTCTCGCTCGGGCCGCGTGAACTGCGCCCGCTTATACAACAGCCCATCCTCCACGCGTAAATCCGGAAATAGCTCCGCGTTCTCCCGCACTTGCTTCAGACGCTCGGTATACTCCGCACCTTCGAACTCGGTTGTCTCGAAGTCAAAAAAGTCAACTTCCTCCAGTTCGAAAGGCCGTGAGAGGGTATCGGCTACAATATTTTCCTTGCCTTTCCGATGCTCAATATTAAAGTCGAACCTCTGCAGGGCCAACGACCACCGCGCTAATCGACCGTCCAACTCCTTCAATGACATCAGCCACCGCAGGCTGGCGTGATCAGTCACCACCTTAAACGGCATCAATTCAACGTACGGCCGGAATCTTTCGACCGCTTTTACTGCAGCCAGGCATTCCTTCTCGGTGACACTGTAGTTCAGCTGAGCGCCCCGAAGCTTCGCTGAAAAAAACGCTATCGGCCTTTCGGCCCCGTCTGCATCGAGTTGGAACAAAACCGCTCCTATGCCCGCTTGGCTCGCGTCACATTGGATCACGAACGGCTTCCGAAAGTCTGGATGCACCAACACTGGCGCGCAGGTGAGTGCCCCTTTCAACTCCTGAAATGCCGCAACCGCTTCGCCCGATAATTGGAACTTTCCTTTCCCTTTCAGGCAGTCCGTTAACGGCGCGGAAATCGTGGAAAAATTCCGAATGAAACGCCTATACCAGCCAGCGGTCCCCAAGAATCGGCGGAGCTGCTTTGCGCTGGTCGGCAAGGAAATCGCCCGAATCGCCTCGACCTTCTCTGGATCCGTCCGCAACGCACCATCGCCAACCACAAACCCCAGATACTTCAAGTACTTGTAGCAGAACTTGGATTTTTTTAAGGAAATCGTCAAATTGGCTACTTTCAAAGCACTTGCCACGTCCAACAGCACCTTGCAATGATCCTCAAACGTTCTGGATATTATGAGAAGGTCGTCCAGGTAGACGAATACATGGCTTCTCAAACGCTGGGGAATCACCTTATCCATCACCCTGCAAAGGCGCTGCGCCGCATTGCACAACCCGAACGGCATGGCCTTAAATTGATACAGTGGCCTTCCTGGTATCGTAAACGCGGTGTACTGCCGGCTTTCCTGATCCAGTTCGATCTGCCAAAAAGCATGCTTTAGATCCAGGCTGCTGATGTAAATGGTATCCTCCACTCGGCTCAAGATCGACTCAATGCTCTGGAGTGGGTAAGCATCCTTCACCGTGAGCTGATTTAGCTTTCTCGCGTCTAAGCACAACCGGTTCTTTCCAGGCTTCCTCACCAAAGTCACTCGGTTGCTCCATGGACTCTCACTTGGCTCGATAACCCCTAGCCGAAGCATCTCATCGACTTCCGCAAACAATAGCGCCTGCACTGCCGGCGACACGGGATAAAAACGCTCTTTCACTGGCAGTGCCCCCTCCGTCAACTGAATGTGGTGCTGCTCCACTGGCGTCCTACCCAGACCGTGCTCCTCGAAGGATCTGAATTGGGCCACGACTCGCTGTAACTTCTCCTGTTGCCACGCCTCTAAATCGTGTGGCTCCGTTGGTGTACCCTTTCCTAAGCGCTCCTCCTCCAACTCAGCCACGTGCTGTCCTTCGTCCACAGCCGGGATCACATTCGGAGCCAAACCGAACCTGCGCCAAAAATCCACGCCCAGATAAAGCGGTTGGCACAACGACGGGCAAACGTGGAATACCATTTCCGACTCTGTTCCGTTATACCTAACGCGCGCCATCACGCTGCCAATAATGCAATGTGGCGCGCCGCCGGCTGTCCTTACCGCGGATTTGTTTTCGCGTACCACCAAACCTAGTTTTCGGACCGACTCTATGGCACCACTTCCCAGCAAGCTCACCGACGCCCCGGTATCCAACAGACCGGTAAATTCTCTGCCTTCAATCGCTACCGTAGCATATGGGCGGCTGTCGGAACGACATGCAGAATTCACCGCGGCACACACCGCCTGGCGTTTCTGTCGGCGTTCGCGGTGTCTCCTACGCGCCCGCAAGGATGTCTTCGACGCCCCTCTCGCATCCGGTTCGTGCTGGCTACCAAATATGCGGTTCCTGGCTACTTCATAGTCGCGCTGACGCTGCTCCAAGGGTTTCCGCTGCGACCATACTTTCGTCGGTGGGACTGCCTGGTTGACTTTATATATCTGTGAGTAACGGTACTAACGGTACTATCCTTATCGCTACTAATTCCTATCCTAACTACTGTATCATCGGAGGTACGCGTTTCACCGTCTACCGAGAGTGCGACTCCTCCGGCTGCGTCGGACTCCTCTCCGAGTTTCCCGGACGGCATTTCGGGCATCTTGGCAGCACCACGCCTGGCTGTCCGCATTTGAAACAAAACATATTGCGCACCGCCGACTCGCAATCGAAATATGTATGCCCTGGTTGTGCACAATTCCAACACTTGAGATTCGAGCGGCTCCCACCAGTTTCATGTGGCCTATATACCGCCTCCAAATGCTCCAGTTGGCCGCCTTCTGTACCTTCTGCTACCACGTCCAGCTCGTGTACTCGATGCTGCTCTCTCTGCTGCCCGTAGTTGGTACTGGCTGAGGGCCGCGCCCAACGCGTTGCCAGCATCTTTTCGGCGTCTTGGCACTCCTCTCTCAGCTTCTGCAGATTAGTTATATTCATCGGATAGATGACCCTAGACACGGTGTCTTTAATATTTGTCTTTATCACCTTAATAAGGTCATAATCCGAAAATGGACACACCAACCGAGAACGCAACACCAGCATCGCCTGAATATACTCTTCTATGCTCTCGCCATGCCGCTGCTTCCGCTCCCTCAGCTCCTGCTCTCGTTCAAACTCCGATCTTCGAGTCTGAAATTGCTGCTGCAGCCCATATCGGAGATTCGGCCAGTCCGGCACGCCCGAGGTACGTATGTACATCCAATACCAATCTTTCGCTCTTCCGTTCACCAGGCAGTGGAAGTCTCGCAACACGTCGGCCCAGGGCACCTGATACAAGGACTGCAAATGCTCCAATCGAAATATAAACTCTGCCACCGGCATTCCTTTGGTTTCGCCATCAAATACAAGGCCCCACTTTCTGATGTGGACGACGTCGGGCCGGGAGTCTCCCATCGTGGTTCGCCTTAATGGCCTGTGCACGTCAGGGCCCAAATCGCGCATCCACGGATCGGCTGAGAACTGCCGCTGCTCCACATGTGCCCGCTGTTCTGCCTCTAAAGTTCGGTTGTCGACGAACAGGTGAGTCGGTGCTGCAGCTGCTGGTCTACCACTTACAAAATCTCTTTCTTTCTCTGCCGGCTCGTACCCGCCTAAGGCTGGCCGCTGCATTTGCGCGTGAGCTCGCTCTGGCCTGCCCACCGGCGCCTGTGCTACAGACGGAGGCGCGCTATGCGTTTTCTCCTGCCTCAGCGCTGCCACTGCCTCATTAATCTCGCGCATGAACGACAGCATGCTGGCCTGCATCGTCTCTCGAATGGCCTCTACTTCTGATGACAACGATGCGCGATACGTCTCGTGGGCCTGTGCTAATGCCACGTTGATCGCTGACCGAATTTCGCTTGGCAGCGCAGACTCGGCTCTGCCACCCTGCTCTTCACCGCCATAGTCATGCGCGCGTGCGCCGGCTGTTGCTCCGGAACTGTTCGGAAATTCATCCCCGAATCCTCGGAACGCTGCCTCGTTTACACTCGGCGGCGATGCGTCATCATGGAGTGCTTCTGCTGGCTTGCCCGCCTCACTCAATCCTACGTGAGGAGGAGAGTCCAAGTGAACCAATGGCCTATTTCTACTAAACTCCTGACTCCGCCTGACCTTCCGGGTAACATTCGGGTCAAGATTCATTTCTCAGTACCTTGTTAATCCAAACCAAAAAAAACCACTGCTAGTACTCGGATCCGTACCCGCCGATTATAATATCAAAAAAAACTAGATCTATATTCTAAACGAGCAAACTCCAAATAAATAAATAGATCGGTCCCCTCGTATGTACGTGTTTTCTTAAATGATAAGCGGGGATAATATCCTTAGCTAAGTACCCGTTGGAATATTTAATCCAATCAAATGCTTATGTATATATATATAGGAATACCATCAAACACACAACCAAAAAAAGGAATAAATAAATAAGAATAAATAAATAAGAATAAATAAATAAGAATAAATAAATAAGAATAAATAAATGAGAATAAATAAATGTATACCAAAAGACTTAACAAAAAAAATACTAAGTGAAACAATTACTCCAAAAAAAAACAAACTAACGATAAGTTGAACTTCAAATTCCCGCCCTATGCACAGACCTGCTAAACTGTGCCAAAATACCCTGTCGATACTTATTAATATCGATGGTTCAGCCCAGGAACAGCTGTGCTTGACCGGGACCATTCACAATGGACTCCCTGTCTATTGATAATTTATTTGCTGCTACGCAAATAAATAAATAAAAGGTAATTAACACTAACAGACAATCGCATAAATCAAAACAATCTTTCTTTACTCTCACAGGCTCAACACTAGACATGTAAGGGTGAGATGAGGATCCTCAGTATGACGCTGCACCACGGCACGCAGTCACTGTAGAAGGTAAACAACCAAAACAAACACATATGTATCGCACGCTTTACACCACCCAATTTCTTCCAGGCGCCTACCAAAACTAAAATCTTGCTCGGGCTATGGCGAATTGCTGCTCCTATGCTCTGCTACGTAGGGCAACGATGCTCCTTCCGCTTGGGACAGGACATGGACCTACTACGCAACCATACATAAGAAATACCAAATAACCACAAACAAAAAAGGTAACTAACACAAAAAAAAACAAGGCAACTAGACTATTCTTTACTTAACACCTAACAGACATTACTCTCTATCTTTCCAGCCTCAGAACACCCTGTAGGGCAACAATGAGTGGGCACCAAGACCCCTCACGGACCTGCTACACTCGCTCCTTCGCTGCGCCTATTCTGCTGGTTACCAACCTACACCGCGCTGTAAGAAAGATGCAACTGCGGCAACGATGGGCTGAGCCCTAGTGAAGCTCACCCACGGACCTGGCAGTTGCACCGTTTCCCGCCGGCTCAGGGGCCGCCAGCAGCTATTGCTGTTGAAATTTACACGTAAACACTAAATAAAGAATACAAATCAACAAAAAAAACAAACAACAAGACTCTGGCTTTTAACTTGCTTCGAACTGGGGCAACATTTGCTAAAATGTAGACCCAGGTGTATTTAAATTGGGCGCCATCTTGTTATGTCCGCCTTTGCCAGTGCATCCCCTGTCGTTACGCCGGCTAGCCATCGGCTCAGGGTCAGATTCGACCGCGACAGGGGTGCGGCAGACCAACAATGAATTTATATTTTTTTATCAAACACACCTACTCATATTGTCGGCTGAGGGACGCCTGTGGAATTTGGGTGGAGTTGTGGCTACTTTGGTGTCATGTAGCCGCGTGGCCCTCCCTACCTTGAGCCGGTTTTGGCATTTTGTTGCCGGCTCCCTTTAACATGCTTGCTTTGGTTTCCCTTCTGCTCCGGGACTTTAGTCACCCCATCTCACCCCATAAATGGATTCTACTCCAGACTCATTTTCAAATTTTAAATTTTATTACAATAAAAATATATTCGGGTATTTAGGCCATTGAGTTTTGGGACGCTGCAGTTTGTTGGCTCTTTGTGCCTATTTATCTTATTCGATTTTCGAACCTCCTACGCTACCTATACTCGAGTATGTGGTTATGAGGGGTGTAATGATATGTAATGACAAGGAGATAAACAAAAAAAAAACTGCGCCGCTCCAATACACATTCCAACCTCTTTTGCTTATATTAGACTTTATACATTTTCTTTTACTTTTCTTTTTTTTTTTTTATGTTCTTTTTTCTTAAGTATACATTTGAATTTTTGTTTACAATATGGTTACTTGTTTGGTGTTGTGTTTCTGTTTAATGTTTTATATTATGTTGTGAATGGTTTGGGCTATGTGTGTAACAGAAAATTGTTAATTGTTTTGTGTGTCGTTTTTTTTGTTTTGTATTTTACATTATGTGGCTATGGGCGTGTGTGTATTACAATATGGTTAAATGTTTGGGTGTTGCTTTTGTTTTGTATTTTATATTATGTGGCTATGGGATGAATGTGAGTCTGAGTGCTATGGAAATTCGGTGTGTGTTTGAATATGGTGTATGTGAACATGTATGGAGTGTATATAAAGGAGTGTGTGGTGTATATAAAATTTTGTGTTCTATGTTTGAGCGGAATGTGTGTGAATATTTAGTATTTTAATGTTGAAGGGTACTTAGCCCAGACTTCCAGTTGCATGGAAATTGGCCTGACTTCCGCTAGGGCCGAGGTCCGGCCTAAGACCCAGTACTGCCGGTCGGTGCTGACCCGCGCACAGCGCACTTCCCAGAACGCCCGCAGTTACTGCTACTCCTATTACATATAGTAAGAAATTAGTCACTGGCACACTGGCCCCTTTTTAGACCCTTACCTCTGCCTATGAAGCCTCGCTGGTGTATATCCCAACCCTCCTGTCGTCACTCCGGTGTTTGAATATTGTCTTCCGCTTATTTTGTCTCTTTTTTTGTTTTTTTCCCGCAATAGCACGTGTCTCTCGCTCACTGTCCACAATTGATTTTTCTTCTTCCCTAAGGCCACGACTTGCCATTCCCCCGGAATTGCTATTTTACCCACTTTGCAACCCTCCTAATTGGTAGCACTGGTCCTCACCCCTCACGCACGAGTACTTGTTATCGGCCCGCTCCAGCTGCCAATCGCGCGAGTTGCCACTCCTTTTGTCCGACGACATTTGTGGTTTCCCAATACTGCCGCGCCGCACATAACAGTATTTTTTTTGCGCGTCTATTTGTGTCTGTGTAAGCATTTTCGCAGTCAACTAAACAGCAACATCAACAACAGCCGCGGGCAGCGCTTGGGCAGCGCTTGAGCAGCGCTGCAGCAGCAAATATATTTATGGATATAACTTCTTGTTAAATCGGTCTATCATAGTAAAACTTGGCATACAGACACATAATAACTAACTGGGGGTATTTGCAAAATTTTAGTTCGAAATTCCAAGAATTACGGGAGTTAGAGAAAATCGCATTTGCATGGGAGAGGGGGAAGGGAGGGAAATTCCAAAATATACATTTTCTGCGTATTCACACAAGGACTAAAATTTGGTGCTCCTAGGTCTTATAGTCTCCGAGATATAGGCGATTATACGAATGGAAAATCGGGAAAACCCCCATAGGGGGGAAGTGGGGGGAAAATCAAAAAAAACAAACTCGTATAGCGTACACACATAAGGCATCTTTGTGCAAAATTTGGTGTCTCTATCTCTTATAGTCTCTGAGATCCAGGTGATCATACGGACGGACGGACGGACAGACGGACAGTCGGACAGACAGACAGACAGACAGACAGGGCTAAATCGACTCGTCTTGTCATGCTGATCAAGAATATATATACTTTGTGGGGTCTGCCACGCCTCCTTCTGCCTGTTACATTTTTCAGCTCCCGCAAACCTAATATACTCTTGTACATTTCATGTACAGAGTATAATTATAATTCCTAATGCTTTTTTTATAATTCGGTTTTAAAAGGCGACTCTTATCAGTGTGTCTTTACACGATTTTACATTTTCAATCGTTGGTGCACAGAAATGGGTACCAATGTAGAAAAATTACAGAAGACAATTGACCATGTGCAAAGCAATATTGAAGATATCGGCTTTGTACCCGAGATGAGCGAGCTCACGAAGTGTATTGGATACATATGTAAAAAAATTTTAAAATTTCAAAAGGTGATTTTAGTGAGTCATCCAAAAGAACAAAGCGACGAAGAATTGCTGAGTTGTCAAAAAGCGACGAATCTGCTGCTTCTGTTTTACGATCGTGCAACATTCCAATAAATGAAATGTGTATCCAAGCTGACGTCGACGAGGTCTTATCACTTCTCATAGAGGCAAACATGAGCAAACATCAATATTTGCTAATAAGAAGCTTTATTAATTCTAAAACGTCCTTCGAACTTTTACCAAGCTACAAGCTATTGCTAAAAGCGAAAGTATCCAGCTACCCCGATAAAATCAGTGTGAGTGAATCACAAGCTGAAGTCGAGCTGCAGAGCTTGCTTGATAACACGGCGTCGCGGATTATAAAACTTCAGCGTGATGTTCTAGACAAAATTGCAGGTGGTTTCGGTGAGAATCTAGTTCTAATTGGAAAATGGGGATTTGACGGCAGCTCCGGACATTCAGAATATAAGCAGAAAGTCCTCAATGATGATATGAATGATTCCAATCTTTTTGTGACATCATACGTTCCATTGCAACTTTTAACAATAGCAGATGATCCTAAGCACCGCAAGATAATTTGGAAGAATCCGCGACCTTCATCGAAACGTTACTGCCGACCTCTAAGATTTCAATTTAAAAAAGAAACTGCTCAGTTAGCTGTAAATGAAGAGAAATATTTCAAAAATAAAATTGAGCTGTTACAGCCAACAAAGTGTACAATATCTGCAAAACAAATTCACATTAACTATGGTGGATGTCAAAATCTGTAGTTCTCTTAGTAACACATCTTCTAAGTGCTATATATGTGAAGCGAAACCGACAGAGATGAACAATTTGGAAAAGTGCTTGACAAAGAAGGTTCATGAAGCACGTTTTGAGTTTGGATTATCGCCACTACATTCATATATTCGATTTTTTGAATATTTTTTGCATGTCTCATACAGACTAGACATAAAAAGTTGGCGAATTAATACCATAGAGGGCAAAGAAGTCCTGTTGCACAGGAAATCCAAAATACAAAAAGATTTTCGTATAAAAATGGGTCTTTAGTGGACAAACCCAGAAGTGGAGGAAGTGGCACTTCAAATGATGGCAATACGGCCAGAGTATTTTTCAATAACCCGAAAATGGCAGCCGAAATAACAGGAATTAATGAAAATGTTATAACCCGGTGTGCAACATTGCTGCAATGTATGGCATCTGGTTACAAGATTAATGTAAACAAATTTGGCGAATTTGCACTTGACACTGCTAAAGAGCTTATAAATTTATATCCCTGGTACTATCTACCACCTTCACTACACAAAGTTTTGGTTCATTCTCCGGATGTTATAAATTATGCACTTTTGCCAATCGGGGAGTTATCTGAAGAAGCTGCAGAGTCAAAAAATAAGGACATTAAAATGTTCAGAAGGCAGCACACTCGAAAGATCTCGCGCATTGCAACAAATACGGATTTAATAAATAGACTGCTTCTAAGCTCAGATCCATTTCTTTCTGGCCAAAGAAAACTACCATGCACAAAAAAGTCAGTATTGTTAAAATCGGCAATTGATCTATTAGATGACATAAATATATAATAACATGTAATTATTATTATTTAAGTTTTTTTGTTTTTGTTTTTTTTTATACATATTAATATAATTAAACTAATTATTAACTTTATGTGGGCGTACTGAGAAGAAACCACGCCCCGTTTCCTCAAAATATTAATTTTATTGTATTAAAATAAAATAAAAAAGTTTAACAACGAAAATAACAATGTTCTTTAAATTTGACCCAAACGTTCCTATGGGAGCTATAGGATATAGTTGTCCGGTATGGCCGATTTTTTTACAATAGGTTCAGAATATTTTTCTAGAATTTTGGTAAAAATTTCATAACGATATGTCAACTAGAAGTATTTATGACCGCCTTCCCATATAAGCGGAACCACCGTGGAACGGCCTCTGAGGAGTGTGCACGAAGCCACGAAAAACCGACAGCTCCTTCAAGGTGTTCTTCCAGATCATCATCTCTGGCTGTTCTCGACCTGGTGTTATATGTACGTGCAGAATCCTTCTCCATGTTAAATTTACAATCGCTCTGTTTTCTTTTATAATATTTATTTGTAATTTAGATTATAAATTCGTTCAGCTTTCAAGCAGGCCCCGAAGTAAATTTCGCGTATCAATTGAATTGATGTATATATGTATATGTATTCAAAACAATGAAAATGTTTGCAAACGCTCAAAACCACAAAAACAAATGGGCAAGAAAATATATGTAATTGATATATGTAAAGTCGATAAAAAAATAAATAAATACGCCAATAAGTAGATAATTAATTGAATATAATCACAAAAAAACTGTAACCAAATGTACACCAAACTTTGCACTGAAACCAACAAAAAAAACATATACGCTCAAACACAAGAAAAATGTAAACATATGCACCAAGCGTAACCAAAAAAAACTTGATAAAATGTAAGCAATAAAAAAACCAATTTTAAACCTTTAAACTTCTAAGACTCGCACTCAGCCGGAACCCACACACGGCTCCTATAATATCTACGCCTGTTACAGCTGCCCTACGCCACAATCCTGCAATATTTGTTCGCTGCTACATTTATCGCCTTGACGACGATGAACGACAGCCAACAAATTAAATGGTTGCTTCTTGACACCCACTTCTGTTATGTGCACCACCTGCTCAGGCTCACCGTGCGTAGCGGTGCATCGCAGGCGACTTTCCTTGTCATCCTGGGCCACCGGTACTCTACGTCCACCAGGCAAACACGATGACACCACAGCGACAGTGCACCAACGAATTGAAGCAAGAAATACAACAAAGAACACAGAAACGAAAAGCGCATTGGAATCCCCTTATAGCACACATTGCCTAGCATCGTTCCATATGGCAGTCGCAAACGAAGGGCTTACATCCGCACCTTCGTGACTTACTGTCCACGTCACCCACGCTTGCAATTGGTGCTATACGGGATTCCGTCCCTACCAAACCGATCGAGCGCACCCAGCCATCGGCTTCATTTGTTTTTTTTCCTATCTAAACTCTCAGCCTGCGTACGGCGGCTGCCTAGACTCCTCCCCAAAAGTGGTACAGGGCCCTAAACAACTCCACCTACTCCTTGACATTCAAAATTCAAATATGCAGGTTGGGCGCCATATTGTTACGACTACGCTTTTCCCTTGGGCAACGCCGGCTAGCTCATCGGAATTATCCTTGGGTGAGTATAACCGATAACACAGTTCCTCCATCGATTTTAACCAAAATGCCATCACTACAATAAATTCGACGCTCAATATACAAAACCGAATTCAAACGTAAACAAAAGAAAAATAACTAACATAAAATAAAAGAAACGTAATGCAACAACAAAAAAACAAATAAACGGATAACTCCCTCAAGCTATCCGTACGAATACGGATGACTGTAAAAGGAGATTACATACATACGTGCGGACGGACAGAAATTGTGGCATCGGACAACTGCATGGGATTTTAGCTGTTGATATCCCAGGCGTACCCACCCTGCCTGTATCCAAAGGCAAAATTTTTACTGGATACCCTAACATTAGGCCGTGCTGGAGCTATTCCAAGGCGAAGGTGAGTCTCCCGCCCCTATTTATGCTGCTTTACTGCATCAAAATGGACTGTGCGAGTGCAAAATTAATAAATAGGTGTTTATACATGAGTTTAACAGGCCCACCTTCGAACTGCTTGTAACACGCTTTTTTTTTGTAATTCCAGGTCTCAGCTAACCAAATAAAAAGGTCGCCACCCGTGGGTCCAAAAGGTCGCCCCAAAAAACAGGAGTGGCGTGTTGCGGCTTGCTTTTTATACGCCGGATGTCGCAACTCTGCAGATTTCTACATCCTTGCGCACCCGTTCATCGGGCCTTACGTTTCCCCACTTTGGGGTGCCATCGGGACACAGCCCTGCGCCTG